TTTTCTTTTTTTTTCTTTCCCTACATATGTTGAGCTCGCTGGACCGAGACTGGATCTTCTCGAGTTACATGCACTGCTAGGAAGACTGCTGTTCCTCCAGCTGTTCTTTCTCAGTACTCTTCTTGTGCTACACATGTTGTTGGATATAAGGGACAATTAGGTGCCTCAAACAAGTCTGAGGCTTGTCACAAAATCAGGCTGTTTATCAATCTCCATGCAATGTGTTTTCAGCAAGCTGTGTTGAATCCACATTGGTTTATGTGCGAGGGTTGAGGATTTAGGTTTACACTAAAACAAATATCTGTTTATGCTTGCCATTTACACAAACACATAGGGGATTCCCTCAGAGGAAGCGTGGGCCAATGCTTTACTTTGGCTTGTGATCAGATGTAAATTTCCATAACCACAAGCACTCTGTGGCCACAACACATTATTCAGGGGTCCCACCTTCTCTCAATCTTCCAGATCTTTCCAGTGATTTGAGAATATGGATAAGATTAAAAAATGTATAAAATTAAGACAAATTAATCATTTAGAGTGAGGATGAGTCAGTTTGATAGATTCATTAAAGATATGCACCAAAAAATTTAAATTATGCCATCATTTACTCATTCCAAACCCGTATGCATTTCTTTTGCTGAACACACAAAAAAATTGATATTTTTAAGAAAGTTGATAACCAAACAGTTTTGGTTCCCATTGACTTCCGTTGAACTTTTTGGACACACAAGGGAACCATTTAATTGTCAACATTCTTTGAAATATCGTCTTTTGTGTTCTACAGAAGAGAGAAAGTCATACAATTTTGGGACAACATGACCATTTTCAGTTTTGTGCGAACTATCCCTTTAAAATGAACTTTCAAAAATGTCTCAAAAAGAACAGTACAAATCAGACTGTAACTCACAAGAAAGTTTTACTCTACAGAAGAGCAATATTTAGCCAATTAAATGTTTTAGGTCAGAGCATAATTAGAAAAAAAAGTACTTTCCCAGGCCTGGAAAACACAATTATACAATGGGAACCCTGATTCTTGACCCACCAAGTGAACAAAATCATGTTTGTGTTTGGGTTCAGTATGGCACTCTGAGCGCAGTTAAAGTAGTGTATTGCCGTGATCGATTTCTGCCGGGCAGCTCGGAGTTACCAAAGGAAAGACCTCGTAGCATAGATGAATTGTTACGGAGAGGAAATGTGAGCGAGGGTGACAGGCAGAGGAGGAGTGCGCAATATTAAAGGCCAGGGTTGTGAAGGCAAAGGTAGTCTTTATTAGGTTAGAGGCGCTCTGTAAACTTGTTACAGGCCGGTGTGTTAGATCTCATTCCCCCGCAGGGGCATGCTGGGATGGGGGCCCTGGAAAATGTCTCAGGGAATGTATTTTTTCCCCATAACCAGTTTAGTGCCAGCCACCCTCCAAGTGTTCTCCATCACTTAGCTTCACAACAGTTGGGGAACAAACGCATTAGAGAAAAATTGCCTCTGCAGTACATCTGTTCTGGCTGTCTATCGAGGGCTCAGGAAGATCTGCTACCACAAACCGAGAATCTGATATTAACTCTAATGTGTTGAATGCTTTTTTATCCCATTCATAAGCAACCACTGATAAAAATAATGATAAAATTTAAATTCAAAATGTTAAAATTGCATTGTTTTGATAAATGGATGAATAAATAAATAAAATTTACTTTACAAAGTCTTAAAAAATTATTAAATTTGATTTTGAGAAATAAAAAACTGATTAAAAATTAATAAATCAATGAATAAATAAAATGACTGAGTAAAAAAAAAAAAAAAGTTGCATTATTTTGATGAAATAAATACATACACATGTGGTCAGAATTGTTGGTACCCTTGGTAAATATGATCAAAGAAGGCTGTGAAAATAAATCTGCATTGTTAATCCTTTTGAACTTTTATTTTTTTTTTAAATCACAAAAATCTAACCTTTCATTGGAGAATAAGAATTTAAAATGGGGGGAAATATCATTATGAAATAATTGTTTTTTTCTCAAATACACGTTAGACACAATTACTGGTACCCCTAGAAATTCTTATGAGTAAAATATATCTGAAATATATTCCCATTCATATTCACAATTTTGAGCACACCAAGAAAAACCAAAGAATATATTTCTGATGTGCAGCAAAAGATAATTGAGCTTCACAAATTAGAAAGTGGCTTTAAGAAAAGAGTTAGAGCAGTGAAAATTCCCATTTCCACCATCAGGGCAATAATTAAGAAGTTCCAATCAACAGAAAATGTTATGAATCTGCCTGGAAGAGAACATGTGTCTATATCGTCGTAATGCACGGTGAGAAGGAGAGTTTGAGTGGCCAAAAACTCTCCAAGGATCACAGCTGGAGAACTGCAGAAAAAGTTTGAGTTTCGGGGTCAGAAAACCACATGTTGTTTGGGAGGGCTACAAGAGAAAAAAAAAATCAAGAAAAGAAAATGCTTTCACCAAAAAACAATCTC